GGGTAATGTTGTGAATCGAGTGGCCCATGGTGGTGGTGGGGTTATGGTATGGGCAGGCGTATGTTATGGACGACGAACACAGGCCACTCGATTCACAACATTACCCTAACCCTAATCCTAACCCTCACACCAGATACTGACTGGTTTTCGGACCCCCCCAGACCCCCCCAATAAAGCAAAACTGCACGTTTCAGAGTGGCCTTTTATTGTGGCCAGCCTAAGGCACACCTGTGCAATAATCATGCTGTCTAATCAGCATCTTGATATGCCACACCTGTGAGGTGGGATGGATTATCTCGGCAAAGGAGAAGTGCTCACTATCACAGATTTTTTCAGATTTGTGAACAATATTTGAGAGAAATGGTTATTTTGTGTATATAGAAAATGTTTTAGATCTTTGAGTTCATCTCATGAAAAATGGGAGCAAAAACAAAAGTGTTGCGTTCATATTTTTGTTCAGTGTAGATAACTTTTATAATGGCCATATATCTCCATCCATAATACTACATTAAAGTGTATTAGTGGATTGCATTTTTGTAATAATATTATCAACCTGCAAAAGTGACTAGTATCTAATGCTTTCAAATAAATGTAGTGAGTAAAAAGTACAATATTTGCTGCCAAGTAGAGTAGAAGTATAAAGAAGCATAAAATTAAAATATTATAAGTAAAGTACATGTACCTCACAAATGTACTTATGTCCAATACTCACAAATGCACTTAGTTACTTTCAACCAGGGATTATAAAATATATGATTCTGTTTTGTTTATTGTTTATTCACTGAGAAACAGACAAAATGTCAATCGCCTTGTTTTTGTCTTTTAAGGCTGGACTGCTTGTCAAAGACGGTGCGCTCGGAGGGCTATTTTGGATGCTACAGAGGTATTTTTTTTTGCATTTCTAATCCCTGAGACAAACAACCCTACAACTGTGCTTTAAATGACTACGAGTTTAAACTGGCGTACTACGTTGTTGTTGGTCCTGTGAGCCACTCAATCTTATTGTCAAAATAAAAGCATCTGTTCAGCGGTTAGACCTGAGCCGTAAGCTGTTGTGTAGTGTTGGTTCTATTTATGTACCTGAGTGGAATCTGTTGTGTGTCACCGACATCTGCGTGTTTGTCTCTTCCAGGTGCTGCGGTGAACCTCACCTTGGTCACACCAGAGAAAGCCATCAAGCTGGCTGCCAATGACGTCTTCAGGCAGAAGCTTTCTAGAGATGGGTACATTGATTATTGCCCATCAATGATACAACATATAATGAAGCTACATGAAAAAGCATTCCAACCAACTTTACACTAGATACTGTTTTCTTTAAATAAATATAAAATGATCATGGTCTTACATAGGGTTATGGTGATATTGGCGAACATTTTATCTATTGATATAGCATTTATTAAAGTATGTTATCTTGGTCAAGATAATCTTGTAGTGTTCATTTAAAATTGTGACAGCCCATTTCTTACACATTTTTTATGTAGGTAAAATGTGTTTGTTAATCTTGTTTTAAGCATTTAAGTCTAAGACCATAGACTTATAAATTACATTTAAACAAAAAAAAAGGAAAAAAGGTGTTGATAAGCAGGTTCTTTTTTACCGGTGCTTTGGTACATAAAACATGGCAAGGGAACAACCGATCCAAACCAATCTGAAGCTTGTGTGCTTGCTTTTATAAATCAATGTATGGACTCGGAGTGTGTTTTTACAGAAGCATACTCCGACAGCATATCTATAATGTCACTATTTGATGTTTTCCAGGCATCTGCCCCTGTGGGGGGAGGTACTGGCAGGCTGTGGGGCTGGGACCTGTCAGGTGGTCGTCACCACTCCCATGGAGATGCTTAAGATCCAGCTGCAGGATGCAGGAAGGCTTGGTGAGTCACTGGAGTTAATGTTTTTTTCTTCACCATGTGTTTTGTCTTGGTACAAATACCAAAAAGCAGTGTGTCACTGTCAACGTTGATGTAAGCGCAAAAGGCAGCACATCATCTGGAAAGTAAATCTAAACAATGACATTTACCTGCATGTGCTTTCTAACCAGTTTTTTTTTCTGTTTTTGACAATCAGCTGCCCAGAGACCTGTCCCAACTCCAGCTCAGGCTGCTGCTCCTGGTCCAGCACCAACATTGGTCGCCCCCCCGCCAGCGCGGCAGAGCCCTCCACCTCGGGCCTCGGCCATGGGCATCACTGCGGAGCTGCTAAAGACTAAAGGACTGGCAGGACTCTACAGGGGGGCAGGAGCCACCTTAATGAGGTATACAGATATGTAAACATACACTACCAGACTGTATACCGAATATGTGTTTACTTTTTGTTCTTTAAATGTACATGCATTAGAGATGTTAAGATTCACCGATTCGCATCGGTGCACTGGCATAAACGTTCAAGATGCGAGTGCACCGGTTGAAAGAGTGCACATCGGCTACAGTTTGGGTTGAACCGGGTTGAACTCGCGATGCATCGATTGCGTAGCGTCTTTGCATCGGTAAAAAAACGATTCATTCATATAAAATCCCCTTATCTTGTCAACGCTCAGCAGAGACGATCTTTGATATTTGCTTCGCCACTACGGAGAACGAGAGTCTCAGTTATCAACACACACGGAAGTTGAGGAGAAAGAGAAACACGGCGCACCGAAAAATACCTACAAATCAAACGTTTGGCAACACTTTGGATTGTTCAAGAAGGACGGTGTAATAGTCCTTAATGCTATATAGTTGACCGCAGGTCATGGAGAGTAATAAGGTATCCGTAGACCTTTGTATGAGGTATCTTTATTACTTAACAGGTCTACAGCCATGATACATAGATCCGTCCTAGATGCGGACTTGCATACACACAGTATCACTCCGCAGCCGCACCCCATCAGTAACGTCCTGATG